CATCGATGACTGGAACCGCCTGCTCTTCAAGGACGGGTTTCCTTCTGAACTCTGTCACCCGCCCAATCGCCAGAACGAACTGTGTCTGGTCACACATAAGTTCTGAGGTCCCAGCCAATGGGATGCTGAAACAGCTGCTGAAGATCGTGGCGCGCGAGATTATGAACTCCCGCGGGCGGCCGCAAAGTGCAATGACAAGCCATGATAAACAAACCGATGGCAAACTATCGTAGCTGAAAATTACATGAAAAAGCTGGTGAACTAGACGGCCTTGTCTGCGATGCACCGGCGAAAGGAGTGAGGTCCGTCGAGCAGGTCAGACTTCCGTCGAGCAGGGTCAGACTTCTGCTGATCAAGGTCAGACCTATGCCGAGCAAGGTCAGATTTCTGCCGAGCAAGGCCATATTTTTACCGAGAAGGTCAGACTTCTGCCGAACAAGGTCAGATTTCTGCCGAGCAAGGTCAGACTTTTGCCAAGTATGTCGCGGGTCACCTTGCAGTAACCGATGGCAATCCTATGCATCGGCCACCAATACAATGGCGATTTTGGGCATTGACCCACCAATACGGAGGAATGCTGGCTAGCAGGTTTTAGGATGAACCAATTGTTCGGACTACCCTCCTCGTCTGGTGTGTTAGGATGCGTACAACGTTTCGAACAACTGACTCTCCGACCGTCGTCTGGTGCTATTGAATCTTGAGAAGGGCTGGACGATGTTTGGCTGTCAGTCTTGTACGCGGCACAGCCCGGATTCTCTCCTCTAAATTGTGTTACGAAATTTTGAGAAATGTTGTTGGAATCAAATTAAAACGAACGAGAATATGTAGTCAATTGGGGAGAAAAGATGGCCAAGAGACGCTCAGTCAGCGCGGCGAGGTGCCGCCTCGCTAACCTTGAACAACGTGACATGTGAGATGGGGAGTCGTGTGAGCGTGGGCATAGCACAACTTGGAGGTTACGTCAACAAATAAACCATGAGCCGCTGGTTTTTTAGGGAGGGGGGAATGCTATTCGCCGTTTTATAATGCCTTTCAAAAGACCAGTATCATCCCGAAATGCTCTGGCGAATGTCGGCAACATATTTCATGAAAGAGTCGGTACACTGCCTCCCTGGGTCTTTCAGTTCTAGACGCACTAGTTTGGATGAATACCACGATGGGCTTCAATTAACAGCATGCTGGCATGTAGCGGCGGCTAATTCCAAAACACCAAACCACCCCACCACTACCGGAAACGTTCCGACGTGGCGTGGACTTCCGAAACGTCACCATCTGTCATCCTCCGCTTCTTTGTCCACTACTTTTTATACGACCAGTCGTAGTTGGCATTCCCTTGTGACGTCTGTAGTCTCCCGCCCTGGCACGACCTTGTAAACCTGCAACACATCAGCTGATCAGCGCAGCACGCTCACGCAGCTGTTCCGCTGCCCAGCCCTGGGCTTCCACGGAGCGTGACGGCCCAGTCCATAAGGGTCAGAATGACACGCCGACCGGCGATGGTGCCGCCCGTACGGCGTCATGACGAGGAGCGGGTTCCCAGACCGCGGCCGGGCCGGGCCGGGCCGGCACAGGCAGTGGTGCGCGCGCCGTGTGACTGGGAGGCCGCGGACTCTCGCTGCGAGCACGCGAGAGTTCGGTTACCGCTGACCGGTGCACCACAGCGGCGATGGGGAAACGGAGATCCAGTAGAAGGTAATGTGGAAGCCCATTTCTGCTGCATGTGATGATGCGGTCACACTGTTTTTGTTCGTGTGCTAGCTATGCCCAGTTGATTACATTTCAGCCGAAGATCCCACCCAACCCTGATCATACCTGTTCGTCGGCATGCCTCGTGTGAGAGGTACTCAACCGTGTGACTGTGGGCGTCAACCGTGTAGCAACAATGCCTCAAACACGATAAGGCGATGTGGCCACGAAACAAGCAGTCGACATGGTCCACAGGCTAAGCAAACTAGCGTTTCCAGATTAACGTTGAGGAATGTCGCTTTGTTATGAAGTAGGCATGTGCGGTATGGTAGCGTTTAGAACCAGCGGCATTCCTCCGAGCCCGGCACCAAATAATGGAAAACCGAGCACCGGGTGACC